TTTTTTTTTTTTCCTTTGGTGGCACTGGGGTTTGAACTCAAGGCCTTATGCTTGCTAGGCAGGAGCTCTACCACCTGAGCCATGCCTCCAGCCCCCAGAGATACTCTTGAATATTGAAACATTTTGGCTGTTTTTCTTTTTCTATCCAAACTTCCTGTATCTCACTTCCCTCTTCCCTTATCTCCTTCCTGACTTCTCTACTTGGTAAAATGTAGGCTAAAACTTAGTTTGCTATATTGTTAATTTAAAAATTGAAGCCGTAAAAAGTAAGCGAGAGCCATACCTTTCATTTGGGTTTATTTACTTAGCAGTCAGTCATCCTTTGTCATGTCTGACTTTTAAGAGATTCTGATAATGCATTTATACTAGTTTGTTTTATCTGTTATGTGAGCTTTACATAGATGCTTGTATTGACCACAATTAAACATTTTGACATTAAAACATTGAAGTGAGTTAGTTGTGTTTCTGTGAAGACAAAATTGAGCAAGCACAGGAGTTAGATCACCTACAGAACCTACAGTGTTGTTTGTGTTAAAAAATAAATTCATATTAGTAGCTCTTTTTGAGTTGTTCCATTTTATGAGTAAAAAGGGGTAGTAATGAGACCCTGTGTTGTGATTTTTGTTTATAGAGACTTATGGGAAACAATGCAGATATCTGCTGTAGAGCTCAGCTGGTCAGAAAATAAGTGTGTAGCACTTTATCCTTCACAGTATTGCAGTCAGTGGTCAATGGAGAGACCCCACAATTTCTCTTAATAGATTTGTTTTCTGAAGGGCATTATGCCTTCACATTTAGTTGATGGTATTTTATCTAGTAGAGTAAACATTAGATTTGCCATTGTAGAGTCTCTGATAACTAAGGAAACCAAAAAGTATCAGTGCTCTTGTGATCCATTTAAAAATACTTACATTATAACACCTGGCCCACACAAATATACTACTAAGTCTATTACTGTGAGGAGAATACTTGAGAGCAAGTATTGGTGTTTCTTTTTTTTTCACATTTAAGAGAGTTCTTAAGAGAGTGGTAAATCTGACTTAATTGGATGTGACAAAGTATTATTTCTTAAGAAACCATTTGTGTGTCATATGATGTTAAATAATGCATCAAGGCTTCAAAAATTTTTTGAAAATCCACTTAGAAGCTCAGAGGAAATTAATTTGGCTATATAAACTTGGATTTAGTATTATGTGACATCTGAAGTATGCTTATTTGCTATTAATCTTATGTTTGAATTTTGAATTTTGCTGTTTTGGGCCATCTAAACCATTTAAAAATGTTAAGGCAAGTCAAATAGCTATAATTAGATAGTAGTGTTTGAGCGCTGCCTTTTTTCAAAAAGACGTACATAAAACTTGAAATGTATTTTGAATTATTTTATATTTGTAGTTTGATTCAGAAAAGAAATAATGAGAGAACTTCAGGGAAACACTTGAGTTCTTATCAATGGGTTTTTTTTTTTTTAGTAATAATTATCTTGTTGAATGAGTTTATTTAGTTGCAAATAATTTTTTTCCATATTCAGTGTATCTCAAATTGATGATTTTGCGAGAGGTCCAAGTTTCCTTAAAATCTGATCCGTGATCAAAATTTCTTCTGTGAAAAATGTTTCTGCTATTGGTCCCAAGATCTTCCTTCTTTGTACTCAGCCAAAGGAAAAAGTGCTATGTGCTTATTTTGTGCCTATGATGTTATACATGCTTATTAATAAGATCCCAGATTGTAAGCAGCAGTGGTCACTGATTTGTTTACTGAATGGATTCCTTTATATTTCTTGTACTTGTTGCATAGATTCTATTCTGATTACTATTTATTTAAACGATCCTGCATATAATTTGAAAAAGAAGCATCAAAGCCAAATCATAAAATTTCCTGGGAGTCTTATTAGTTTACTTGAATGCTGATATATATATTTTGTCTGGTATTTGACAAGAACCCCTTTTCAAATTTTATGTCTCTGTTTATCCCATTTTACCATTAGAAAATGTTGCGATGAAAGATCCTCCGGACTTACTGGACAGGCAAAAATGCCTGAATGCCTTGGCGTCTCTTCGACATGCCAAATGGTTTCAGGTTGGCTTTTTGTTATTATTTACTGTTACTATAACCCTCTGCAGGTTTCATTTGGAACACCTGCCACTTACTGATTTCTATGTGCTATAAAATGGGGATACTGTCTAAGATTGATAGTGTGAAGTACATGAGTTAATTTAGGATTAAGTGATTAGAATAGCTTCTGTTATAGTTAATGGGTTTCATTATACTGTAATTCTTTTTGGCTTAGTATTCTAAATTTTAAATGGTGGTTTGTAAAATATAAACATGGAAAAGCTAAAGGTAAAGTAGATGGTTGCTTGGAATGAGGTTTCCATGAGGCTACAAAAAGAATTTTGATATTATGCTCCTTTTACTTTAAAACCTGCCTTCTGAACCACAGCTTACTACTTTTCTTAACTTTATTTATTTATTTATTTAGGTTTGCTTGAAAACCTAATTAGTATTCACTTTAAAAACTTATATCCATGATCAGTGTGCTTAAAACGAGGAATGGATTTCAACAGGGATATTGGAATCATTTTATTTGTTTTAGGCAAGGGCAAATGGATTAAAATCATGTGTAATTGTCCTCCGCATTCTGCGTGATTTGTGCAACAGAGTTCCCACATGGGCACCACTAAAAGGATGGGTAAGTATTTAAATGTGGTTAAAGCAAGTTCTGAACCATAGCTGAGGAAATCCTATAAAAATGATATGTTACTATAAAATTACTACCTTCTGAGTTACCTAAGGTATGTTACCTGTTTTTGCCCAGAAGATGTTTATGTATTTTTTTATATGAATTCTGTTTTTATGCATATAATTTCTCCCTTCTATCTTACCATATTCATGTTTCAGAACCTGAGATTTTTTTTCTGACAAAACGTTTTATACCTTTTAAAAGTAAGCATCTTCCTTTCCTTAACTCTGCACTGATGGTTGATCATTCACTGGTCATCTGCTGCCCAGAAAAGCCTCCTTGGCTGGCTCATTGCCCTTTCATTGTGTCTTTCCATTACGGTGGAGATTACCTGATAGACCAGTATAAGGAACTTGTAGTTTCTATAATTTTCTTCATATGGAGACTCCTGCAAATAAATTTGTATTACTCATTAAAATCAAGCAAACAGTACATGTAACCCAATTATGGATGTAGCTTATAATGTAATATAAGATTAACTTGATTTGGAAATTATTATGCCTGATCCAATGAAGACTATAACTTAAGAACATTAAAAAACAATTCAAATAAAGCTGTAAAGGGTCATTTCTAAATTAAAGTTAATCACTAACTTTTTATTTATTATTAATTTATAAATTAATGAGCAATTGCTCAAATATAGTAAAATGATGTTCAGTTTGTTAAATACGGAGATTTTGTCCTTTGTTGATTCTAATTGTAGTACTTGGAACAAGCAATCTGAAAGAAGTCTAGTTCTTACATTGAGAGATTTATGGTTTTGAGTGTTTCCTAAATTAAGTGGGATTTAGGTAAGCTGGGTTTGCACATTTGCTAGTTATTAGTTATTACTAACTTATGTGAAGGCTTGTTAATCTTTGTTAAATGAATTAGATAACCATATTTCTTTAGTGATTGTTTCAGAGTAACTAAAAATTAAAATTTTTCTTTTACAAAAATGTCTTCAGAAAATCCTTTAAAAATACTAGATTTAAAAATTGGTCAGTAGAAGTTGGTAGTTGTGGGGAAGCAGGCCTTAAATGTTCGATTGTCTTCACTTTTTTGGCTTCCCTTATAGATAGAAATGTCAGCTCACATTTAACTGGAATCCTTTTAACACTTGGTGCATGTACTAATTTGTAATTTAATATCTTCTAGCCACTAGAACTTATATGTGAAAAGTCTATAGGTACTTGTAATAGACCTTTGGGCGCTGGGGAGGCCTTGAGACGAGTAATGGAGTGTTTGGCATCTGGAATACTACTTCCTGGTAAGGGTTTCAAACTCTGCAGGCAGAAGAATCAGAAAAAACTCATTTTAGTTAATTTGTCTAAATATGTGCTAAATTTGTCCTCTGCACTGGGAAATGATTTGTAGGAGTTATTTTACTTGGAATTTTAGCAAGTAGAATGTTTGTGTGTTGGAAAGGTGTATAAAGCTTTTTCAGTAATTATAGTTTGTGTTTTATATGTACTAACATAAAGGGTACTAATAGATATTGGGCTTGCTATGAATTTTCTTCAACTTGAAAATGCTGATGTTTTTTTAAAATGTGTGAAGTTTATTTTGTTGGCAGTCTGGTATTAAATTTGGAAAAATTAAATTTGGTCTTATTTTCTGTATATAATCCTGTTAAAGATTTGGGATGATTCATCATGCTATTTCTAAATTCTCAGAGTAAGATCCAATTTTGCTGTGAGTGATACAAGTGACTTTTAAAATAAGGACAGTTAAGTGCTAACATAGTGAAAATAAGAGTGTCTTAAATACTTCACTTAATTGAACAGACTTTTAACTTAGTTCCTCAGTTTTTTTTCTCTTCCCTCATTTTAATGTAACTTTGCTGAATTCTAAACTCAGTTCTAAATGATATTTGTATTTTTCCTTGCCTTTGCCAAAGGGGGTCCTGGTCTTCATGATCCTTGTGAACGAGACCCAACAGATGCTCTGAGCTTTATGACCATCCAACAAAAAGAAGATATTACCCATAGTGCACAGGTATAAGGCTGGCAAATCACTGTCATTTATTAGAAAGAGATCATAATTTTATTTTCTGAATTGTAAAACAGAACACGTTTCTTGCATGCTGTTGAGGACTTCTGCCATAATAATTTTATCATTTAATGAATATCTTTGTAGCTAAACATGCTAGGGTATTTATGAATGGCTCTTCAAATTTGATTAAGTGTAATGTTTTATTCTTTAGCATGCACTCAGACTATCAGCCTTTGGCCAGATTTATAAAGTGCTGGAGATGGACCCTCTTCCATCTAGTAAGCCTTTTCAGAAATATTCCTGGTCAGTTACTGATAAAGAAGGTGAGTATGAAAATTTTATTTTTTTGAATTAGGGTTGGTGGTGATTGTTTGGTATGCATCTTGTTAGAGCTTAGAGAATGTAGTCGTTGTTCATCCAAGTCATCTATAAGAAAGTTCATTGCTTTTCTTCCTGACTTTCTTGACCTCTATCCCTATCAGTGACATCAGCTTGCTAACATTGATCAACTCATTTGGGTATCTTGGTCAGATTTTGTTTCTACATAGACTTAGGGATCATACTTTGAACCTCTGGTCAAAGGAGAAGAAAGAAACCATAAGCTAGGAGGAGACATTGTCACCATTACTGATCAGTCTGATGGTCTTTCTCTTATTTGGAAGTATTATGTAACCAAGAAAGAGGAAGCAAGAATATAAAGGAAGAAAAAAGCATATTGGAAATTTAGGACCATTTTCCATTTGTACTAGTCCATTTGAAGTCAGATTACAGTTTCAGCACAAAGAGGATCTTTATGGCCTGGACTCCAGGAATGGCTCTACCACATACTAGTTTGAGGTCTTTAACAATGAGTTTTTCTCTCTTAGAGATATTTATCATCTTTCTTACTTTATTGACTATTGTCAGGTTAAAATGTTTGACTTGGTTTGGCGTTTCAGCAGGTGCTTAAATGTGAATTACTTTTCTTTCTGTGCTATAGAAAACACTTCATTCTTTTACAACCCCATTCCTCTCATGTTACGCTTGTTATACTAGAAGGTAGGATGTTTGATACCAGGTATTCTTCATCTAGGATGCAACCCCTTCCCATGAGTGATTTTATTCTAATAATTTCTGTATGATAACAGTAGTACGGTTTCATAATCTGTTTATTTAGACAACAGAATTACAGTAGTTCTAAAGGCTTATTCAAGGAGTTCACAAAGATAAAAACTGTTTCATAGTGGGGCATGGCAGTTCATACTTGTAATCCCAACACTTGGTAGGCTGAAACAGGAGGATTGCAAGTTTGAGGGCAGCCTGGGCTCCATAGCATGACCCTGTTTCAAAAAAAATTCAAAAACAAAGCAAAAAACCTGTTTCATAATATTAAGGCTTCGTGTGTGTGTGTGTGTGTGTGTGTGTGTGTGTACTCTTTTATACTCTTTTATTAGTATACAGTTTTCTGGAGACTGACATAATATATGGTGAATTTTTGCTGTGATTGCTAATTGTATATTCTTGTGTTTTAACATTTATTTATTTATTTTTTGACCATACTGGCATTTGAACTCAGGGCCTTACACTTGTTAAGCAGACAGCACTTGAGCCATGCACGCAGCCCATGTTTAACAATTTTTGTCACAATGTCTATTATACTACATGTTATGTTAATAGAGACTATTCACAAAGCAAAGGTCTTTGAGTTTTCAACAATTTTTTAAGAATTTAAAGTGGTTCTGAGTTAAAAAGTGTAAGCGTCACTCTCTTACATTGTGGACTCCTCAGGAGAAGGAATCCTCCAGATTCTATCATGTCATTGTAAAACAGTGCTCAGTACAACTTGTGGAAGGAATACAGTTATTTTCTGGAGGGTGTTCACTCATTGGTGGTGAAATTACTGAATGGGACTTACATATCTGTGTGACAGCAAACAATCTGAATTAAATGATTGAATAAAAAATTTAAATATATATACTTTTTCTTCTAATTAGTAACAGAAAATTTTATTTCAATCCCTGAATTCACAGCACTTTCCCCTCCATTACATAGTAAAAGTACATTTGCATTTAAGTGACTCAGGTATTTATTCATTTATATTTATTTATTTATAACTTCAAAGATCTTTCTCCAAAGTTTGGAAACTATTGATCTGTCAAATTAGAACATAAAATAGAACCAGAGTACTGGTGTTCCTGTTTTAGCCCTGTTACTTTCTTGCTTCATAACCCGAGCAAGATACTTGTCTATTTTGTGCTAGGGTATAAAATAATCTCCTTCACACTTTTTCTTCCTGGCTTTCTTGGCTTCTATAATCAGTGACATCATCTTGCTATCATTTGTTCTTATTAGTGATCAACTCATTGACTGTCTTGGCCAGATTTTGTTTACTGATTAAAGGAAATGAAAAGCTAGGAGGAGACATTGTCACTGTTACTGACAGTAATAATGCTTTTAAAACCTAGCTTCCTGATATTAACATACAAACTTTTTTCTATAATTCTTGATGATTTCAGTATTCATTCAGATGATTCCCTCCCCCCCGCCAAAACTCTGATATCCCAAGTCCTTTCCTTTTCCTCCCACAGCTATATTATCATCTACCTTACCTTAGCTACAGATTCTATGGACCATGCCCTAGACCTTGTCATGCCCTAGACCTTGTCTTCAGCAGTAACAGTCAGTACCCGTATATTTAAGAGCCCCAATTTACAGCTCACTCTTATTACCACTTTGTCTAGTACTCTTATTCCTTGAATTCACCATTGATTTTGTTTCCTTTGCATAGTCCTTCCTGGTCTCACTTCTCTTTTTATTTATCCTTCTTGTCTCTCTGGCATATACCTTTACTTCCAAGATCCTCTCCTCCTGACAATATTCTAACTGGTTGAAATCCACCTTTACTGGGTTGCTGAACGTTTTTTGGGAAAAAACACAATCATCTTAACATTCTCCCTTTAAGTTTATGACAGATCCCATCTCCCTTTAAGTTTATGACAGATAGTTCCCGGACTATTTGTGTTGTCTGGCAATTCTCTATAGGTTATGAGAGTTCTCCAGTTTTCCTAGATGACTCTTTAACATATCCCATTTCACATCTCCTCCGTCACTCCTCGTCTCATCTGATAATCTTGCTTGTTTCTCTTTTCTCAAATTACTAGTAATCTGAAGATAACGTCCACATATTCTCGCCACTCTGTCTGCCACCTAACTGCAGCTGCGCATCTCTTTTCTTTCCCTTCCTTGCCTATGGATAGACTGTCTAGCCTCTTATATTGAGACTACCCCCTTTCTACTTGTCTAATATATCAATCTCCTCTTGCCTACCAGTGGACATTATTCTAGCAGTTATTTCTCCTCTTACTAACATCAGTTTCTTCCCATCTACTGAGTTATTTTCATCAGTATAAAGATTTTTTTTTGATAGCATTCCCTGTTTGAAAGCAAAACCAAAGCAAATTCACTCTTTATTCTATAGCTCCTCCAATGAAGTCCCATTTCTCAGCTCTCCTTTAGAGTAGGACTTTTGAAAGAGTAAACTGTTCCTTTTTCTCCCCTTTCCCTAGCTTTCTATTCTTCTTTTGAATACGTTCTAATCAATCTTTCTTCCTTACCACTCTACCAAAGAATTAACTATGACCGTCCTATTATCATCACATTCAGTGGTTGGTTCTCAGTCCTAGTCTTATCCAGCAGCAACTTTTTCAAGATGAGCAAAAAACAGATGAGCACATTTTTTTCCTCCTGTATTAATTTTACTATGAGATTCAGCATATGAAAAACATCAGTTAGAAATTACCTTAAAAAAATCCATGCAATCACTTAACCATGGTTAGGAAACAGAACATTATCAGTGCTTCAGAAGCCACCCACTTATTCTACCCCTTGCCTTTCTTGCCATGTGAATGCCCAGTCCTGACTTTTTGACTCCTTTCCTAGATTTTCTTTATACCTTTCCCACCTGTATGCTTTCCCAAATAATTTTATTTTATTTGCCTTGAACGTTCTGGAAATTAAGTTTAATCTTTTGTGACTGGCTTCTTTCTGTCTAGCATGTTTGGGATTAATTCAGTCCTTTTCCATTGACTGGAATGATAAAATGAAGCTTAATCCATAGCTCTATTTACATAGCTGTCAGATTTAGAGACTAATCTGTGTATTTAACCAGCTTGTGATTTCCAGTCAGTCAGGGAGTTGCTTTTAATGTAACTTAACCTGTGGAAGAGTGAATAGTTGCAGTTTATTTTTAACTTTTATCTCTTAAAGACTGCATTCTGGGAAACTGGCACACTCATACTTTTATGTAATGCATAAGAAACACAATCCTAAGCAAATATTGCCTTCTGTTAAGAGAGCATCAAGATAAATTGACCTGAGTGGTAAATATTGACCCAAACAAATGCCAAAGTCGGTATTTACCCCAAGGCACAGTAAATCTTGGTGACCAGAAAATGCATAACCTCAATATTATTACAGATTTTCACTAGAAGTACCTGAAAATCTTTTGACATGCATCTCTCAAGCGTAGCCTTCCTAGGTAAAAAACAACTACAACTAACTTTTAAGTTGAAGACAATTTCTTTTTTTAAAAATTTTTTATTTGGATATATTCATTGTACAGGGGTGATTCATTGTGACAGTTCTGAATAGGCTTGCATTGTACATTGGTTAGATCACCCCCTGCCATCTCCCCCCCAATCTTCCCCCACAACTCCCTTCCACTTAATGCAATTGTAAGTGGGTTTCATCGTCCTATTTCACATACGTATATGAAACCCATCAACCATATTCCCTCACCTTCATCTCTTTGTTCACCTACCCTCCTCCCACAAGTACCCCCCCAAAACATACACTGTACCTATTTTACAGTCCTGTCTTTTGTTATTAATAACTAAATGTTCAGAGGGGTTTCTCAGTGTATCCCTGCTGTGAGTATACTTCACTTTGGTCAGTCAACCCCTTCCATTACTCTCCACTACCCCTTCCCTCTCATCCCCCATTATTCAGTAGCTTTCAATATATGTTGCTACATCCTCTATCTGCACAGATGTTATGTATTTTGATATTTTTGAAGCTCTGTCATTCTCTTTTCCTTTTCCTCTTCCTCCTCCCCTGAGTTCCGTAGGGTAGTTCCACTATTACAAACATGTTCTGCATATAAGTTTGTATATGATAATGCTTGTTTTTGTGTATGTTTATCTTTTGGGTCTATCTTCCACATATGAGAGAAAACATGTGGCCTTTGGAAGGCAGACAATTCTTTAATGTTCTTGGACAGATTGATGAGCTTTTTTTCTAAAAAACTTTTTTTAATTGAACACAAAGCTTGACAGCATTATTAACTTGCTGCTTTATCCAAGAAATTGATTAAATTCAGTAAGTTTTTTTTTTCCCATTATATTGTTTCTAAGTCTTTTGTTAAAATACATAGATAAAAGATAAAGTGAAAATATCTTTGAACTTCATAGAGCACTGAGGACATACAAGAATGTATATATACCATAGAAACTTTTAGAAAGTTGATATGAGATAAAGGCTTCATGGAGGAAGAGAATTATAAAGAAAGTCTTAAATAAGATTTGCAGAGGTAGGGCTGGGGGCATAGCTCAAAGTAATAAAGCACCTGCCAGCAAGTGCAGGGCCCTGAGTTCAAATCCCTGCCCCCCCCCCAAAGATTTGAAGAGACAGACTATTTTATAGTTTAATTATCAGATTTCTAGGATCTTAAGATTTAACATACTGACTTAAAATTTATACAAGTAATAAATAGTAAATTTTAGAAACTTTGGGAAGATATAAGTAAAAGTGAATTCAACCAGAGGTAACTACTTTTAATATAAGCTATTTTAGTCTGTTTGACTGCTGTAATGAAACACCTTAGACTGGGTAATTTATAAGGGACAGAAATTTATTGCTCACAGTTTTGCAGGCTGGCAGTAGGTCAAAGATCCAGCAGATTTCCTGGCTGACAAGGGTCCATTCTTTACAAATGGTATCTGTTAGGTATCTTCACATGGTGGAATACACAGACTCTCTTCGGCCTCTTTTTGCAAGCACATTAATCCCATTTGTGAGGGCTGTGTCCTAATGTCCTAATTATTTCCTACATTTCTCCCCACAACACTGTTGCATGGAGGGATTAAGTTTCAGAGTATGAATCTTGGAAGGCTAGAAACATTTAGGCCATAGCATATGTGCACATCTTTGTGTGTATAAATGAATAAATGGGAAAGTAAATATTTATGAAAATGTCATAATGTTAAATTCTTTCAAGAAGAACATTTTGTGTTTCTAGATTATAAATATAGTTTAATCAGTGCAATTTTTGTTGTGATTCTTGAGATTTTTGAGTAGGTGGGATCATTATTTTGACTGACAATGAAGCTCTCATAATTTTTTAGGTGCTGGGTCTTCAGCTATAAAAAGGCCATTTGAAGATGGATTAGGAGATGATAAAGATCCCAATAAGAAGATGAAACGAAATTTAAGGAAAAGTATGTAAAAATCTTCATTCTTAATGTGAACTAGAGAGGCTGTTGCCTCAAATAGCAAAATAAAAAAATGAATTTGACTTATATTTGAGTTTTAAGAATACCTGTTAACTGAGAAATTGAAAATTGAACAACCACCTTTCTTGTGTTTTTAAACTTCATTGAATACATTAATACAAATGAAAATTAATTGAAAAGTAATTTATTGATATATTAATGCATTATTTTCCAATATATTAGCATAAAAGTAATTTTAGAACTACTTATGAAGTTAATTTATATGTGTGTTTTGAGATTTTCCATTTTTAAAAATGATAAATTTATACTGGTTAATTAGGAGCCTATAAATGTATTGATTGAAAGAAAATGGCTTTCTTTTTAGTTTTTGATCTCATCTTTCTTCAACAGTTCTGGATAGTAAAGCAATAGATCTCATGAATGCACTAATGAGGCTAAATCAGATCAGGCCTGGGCTTCAGTACAAGCTTTTGTCTCAGTCTGGCCCTGTCCATGCCCCAGTCTTCACAATGTCTGTAGATGTGGATGGCACAACATATGAAGCCTCAGGACCATCCAAGAAAACAGCCAAACTTCACGTAGCAGTGAAGGTACAGTATTTTTTTTTTGTTTATCAAATGCATTGTTTTCCATTACAGATAGTGCTTTTTTTCCTGTAGTAAATTAATAGTATTTTCGAGATTTGAATGACCATAATGTAGAGACTTTCGTCACTTTTGTATCACAGAATTATTCTTTTTTTGTTGTGCAGTTGTGTTGATTTTATGAAATTTAGAAAATACAAAAAAAAGCATATAAAAATATAGCAGCTCCGTATTTCTAAGGCAAAGGTCATTAATATTTATATCTGGTATTTTTTCTAATTTTCTTTCTTTTTTCAAGTTGGGCTCAAAGTGTACATGTAATTTCCATGATCTAGTTTTTCAGTTAATATTTCATTAGTTTTTTTCCATTATTTGTAAGTAATTTTTAATGACTTTGTGATGAATATGATCTGGGTGTTCTGTTACCTGTTTAAACTTTTCCTTATCATTGGATATATTTTCATTTCTAGATTTTTTTCTGTCATAAACAAGTTTGATTTTTGTGTTTGTGCATGGTATCTTTGTGACTGATACCTTTGTGAATCTATAATTTCCATTTGGAGTAACATTCAGTATTGGTTCAGTCAGTCATGCATGCAAATTTATAGAAAATTCCCAAATAGTGGAATATCTCTATAAAGTACATTTGCAGATTAAATGCCAAAATTTCTGTCAGGTAGCAGTATGGTATAAAATAAAATTGATCTTGGTTTTCACATCATTCTATTTGTAAGTATTATTAACACAAACACTATCCTAGATAGTAGGGGTAGAACAGTAAGCAAAGTAAAGTCCCTACTGATGAAGTTTACATTCTAGTGTGAATATGATAGAGAGACAGAAACACATAAACAAACAAATACCTAATGTGTCAGATAGTGATTAGAACAATAGTAACAAAATTGGTAAAAATACCAAACAGTATATTATATTCCTTGTTTATAGAAGGAGTGTCTTAAGTATGATGAAAATAAGAGTTCAAAACGAAGCAGAAAAGTGAATCCAGGAGTAAGGCTAATAAAAATGTTGTTTAATAATTGAGCTATACTGTACTTTGAGAATGAGTTGCAGATTTACAGCTAAATTCTGTAGCAAACGACACAAGAAGCTTATGAAATATACAACTCTCTGACATAAGAATAGCTAGTTGATTTATGAGATTCACAGATGTTTTGGTATAAAGATCAGGCAAGCATTTCTCCTTGGGTAGATCTTCACAAAAAAGAATACCAGTGATGTTCTTCAAAGGCATATATGATTCAGTGATATATTTGGTGAGTTGTTTCCTATAACTTTTACTATGAGCTTGTGAGCTCATAGTAACTTGCAGTTAGTAAAATTTGCAGGTTTTTTTTTAGTAGTACAATGACAGATTTTTCCATGTGATGAATAACATACTGTTTTTATTATAGTGGTATGTTTATATAATATAATTTTTTTTTGTTTAGTGGAACTTTTTGTAAACATAGAGGGGCTTATAAATTTGGGATTAAACTCCCTGGCACACATCTGGAATGTAGATATTACTTACAATCTGAATGACATTGAATGTGAGGAAAGAGTTAATAGTCTCTTGTGACTTATGTGGAGGTAGATGGCCTTTTTTTTTTTTTGTCTTGGGTTGTACTTTGGGTGGAATGTGCAGTTGATTAATAAATCTGAAATATGCAAAGTATTGAAATTTGACCTTTTAGAACATGGGATAAACTGAACTTTTGATCCACTCAGGAAGAATAAATGAAGCATCAAAGTCAGTTCTAAAGATGTGAAGATCTCTTCTTTGGTACTTTATGTATTTGGCTTAAGGTGATTAATTGGCTATGTGATTTGAAGGCCTTATTACTGATGTTTGTCAGAAGAAACCTATAGTCTTTTCTGGGTCTCCAGTCTCATATACTGGGTAGCTGTATTCCAAAACTTGCTTTCTATGTTGAAGCAAACAGTTCTTTATAAAGTTTTCACAAGGTTTTTATTGTATGTCTCATTTTCTTTTTCTTATTGTAAATGTATAAGGTGTGTTTGCTATAAATGGTTTAGAAAATGAGGAAAAAAATCCATAATCCCAACACCTAGAAATAATAACCGTTATTTTACATTAAATATATATTTTGTTATGTATGTTTCCAAGCTTGTGTTATTTATTTGTTGATTGATTGATTATTTTTGTGATGCTAGGTAGCAAACCTAGGGCCTTGTGCATGCTACGTAAGTACTGTACCCCTGAGCCATATCCCTACTCATTTATTCTTCTTTAAACTTGCAATTCCAAAATCCAAGATGACTGAAAAATGAAAAGCATTTCCCTATATTTGGTACAAACTTGTGATTTGCCCTCATCATGGCAAAACCTGAGCTGAATTGATGTAGGGCTATTTTTGGTCTTTATTATTCCATTAATGTGAATGTTTTCTATATATAAACATGGAGTAACACCTGAGAATTCATGGGGATTTGGCAAATAGGTGGTATATATATTGCATTAGTTTTTGAAGCTAGAAAATTATGAATTCTCAAAACAACGTGGTCCCCATGGTTGACTTACACATGTATAAAAATACACATACTTAAAATTGATTCATACTTTCTTTCTTCATCTAAAAGTAGATTATAATTTTTTCATAGTTATCACAAACATTGCTCTCATTTTTACTGATGGTAAAATAGTTCATTTTTATTAAGTTACCATAAAGTAACTAATTGTTTTAGATTCAAATGCTTCCAGTTTATTGCATTACATCTTTTGAACTTGTCTGATTGTCCCTTAAGATATATTCTGAAGATATATTTTTAGATATATTACTAGGCCAAAAGGAAAGCAGATTTGAATGATTCATTAGTTTGTGTATTGGGAATATTATTATATTCCAGGCCTGTATTGTCAAATTGCCATCTATAAAGGTTATAACCACATGTTATAGGTTCCTTTTGTAAATGAATTCAAAAGAGAGTTTTAGATCTAATATGTTTATGTAAGTAGGTCCTCTAGATAAAATTTCTCACAGTTCTTACTCAATAGCTTGGTAGAGCTGAACCTGTTAAGACAAAGCACACTGGAGAATCAAACACAAGATTCTGAAAGAATTTGTTCCTGCTACATGAGTGTGACTTGAGTAACCAGCAGCAAGCACTCCCCAGGGTGATGGAAGTTAATGGCCAGTCTTTGCTCTTCCAGTACTTTATCCTAGAAGCCCCTCACAAAGGGCATCTTTAGGGACATGTGAAATAAGTCACATTCCATGAAAAGAACCTTAGTTACTTTGGGATGGGGGGGAGGTTAGATAGAAGGGGACAAGGAGTAAAAGCTCTTTTAAGAGGCATTTAGAGCCAACATATATCCCAAGAACCTGATACCAGATGTCCATCCTACAGAAGCTATGAATATTACTTTCTTTTGAGTGGAAAGCCATGTGTAGAGTTCCATGTATTTTCTTTTCACTGTTGACCCTTAGTCTTTGAGGCTATCATCTTTCTCAGACTTAACCTTTCTCAGACTCAGCTTTCATCCAGGAAAAAAGGAATGAGCTTATATATGCAGCTTATTTCTTAGTCACCTTATTTCCATGAATTATCTTGTGATTTTTAAGCTCAATTGATGTATTTATTAGGTTTGAATTTGTTTCCCAGACATTTAATAGTGATTTCCAGCAAACCTTGGTTCTGTCAAAGAAAAGCAGAGCAGGACAGTTGTTAAAGAGATAAAAATAGATATTACTCAGGAACTATTGCACTAAGCAAAAAAGACCTTAGTGTAGAACTGGGTTCAATTCTGAATAAAACATGGACAAGTGGGGATTTATAGCCAAAGAATGGGAAGAGATCAGGGGATGGAAAATTACTAAAAGAAAACAACATGGGTAAGGATTTCTGGCTAAACAGACTTAGGATTCTTAGTGAAGGCAGGCCAAGGTGATCAGACATCACCTGGTTGTGGGGGATCAGGAGATTTGATCAAATAGTGAGGGTGGAGGATTCTGGCTAACCCAACCTAGGTGGAGCCTTGCTACAACTGGGCTCTTCAGGACAACTAAGAAGGAGGACTAGTTGTAAAAGTGACTCAGAGAATCCTGTCTAGAGTTGGTGAAGATGAGTTTTGTTGGACTAGAGGTGTGGCTCAAGTGGTAGAGCACTTGGCATGAGGCCTTGAGTTCAAACTCCACCAAAAAAAAAAAAAACAAGAAAAAGAAAAAAAATAAGATTTATTAGTTCTAGAAGTCTGATAATTCTTCACTCATGTAGTCCATACAAGTGACTACTCTGAGAATGTATGTTCATGGAAAATGACTTGATTTAAAAATTTTTTGCTAGTTATTTTGAAATAGTTATGAGCTATTTGCATTGAAAATGGACACTGTATTCCTTGACAGATACTCTGTCAGCTATATAAACTATTTGTAAATGTACTGCAATATGTTGGTATACAAACAAATAAGTAAATGGCTCTGACATGTGAGAAAATGGCAGAGAAAAGTGGTATTAAATAATTTATATTAGACTATGTTAAATTGGGAATCCCTGCATGTCTTAACTTTTTTTGTTGTTGTTTCATTTTGCTGTGCTGAGGATCCAACCCAGCATATGCTAGGCAAGTGCTCTGCCACTGAACTACAACTTCAGCCCATGCCTATACTTTTTATTGAAATAAGGAAATCAAATTTATTTGTGATGCTTGGCTTTTGATTTGAAGCCTGCATTATCTTTGTTAATTTTGGATTGATGGCTCTTGTCTGAGATGAGGTTTCTCAGGGAGAGCATATATGCAGAACTCAGCAGAAGAGGTGTTTTCTTTATAAAATATTGATTATGATACAACCAAATGATTTTAGTTTACTTAGTGTGAAGTACTACCTGAATACTTTTTAGAACTTAAGATGTTAAAAAAAAAAGGGTTCTTGACTACTCCCAGATAAACACAAGGAGTTTATTTATGATAAGAATGGCAAGTTCTGAAAATTGTATTAATCAGTCCATCTGAGAGGATCATGGAAGGCAGGAGGGATAAAAAAAATGTTAGAGAATGAAAAATACTGAAACAACCCGTCTATATATGAATATAATGTACTGTACATTAAGCTGTTGAATATTAGGGGAACATAGTGATAGAGAATAAGTAATGGGGGAGGTTAATTTGATTAAAGCATGATATAATACAGACCTGAAGTACCAAGGCAAATCCCTC